GGTAAGTCTTCCATCTGAGGCCAAACGTTTGACACTTCTAACCGAAACTACATCTCCAAATGTGTGTTTATATCCCAAATCATCTTGTTTTCCTCCGAAGCAACCTCAAACCTGTAAAGACTCGATAAAGGACTAAAAAACTCTAAAAAAAACTTTGACTCTATAAAATATATGATCTAGGAAAGAAAACAAAGACTCAAAACCGATAAAAACAGAACATATCAACTCCCCCCCGACTTAGATCTTTGCTTGTCCTCAAGGAAAGCAGAAATCCTTATCAAGAGAAGATGTTTGAAAACACGAGAACTCACATTTTCTTCGGGATCATGCTCTTATCAATTGTCTGCAAACCACTATCACAAAACTCATGAAACCGTACTAGACTGTACTTCGCCATAACCATAGCAACAAAATTAAGTCCCGAGATCTAAAAGAACTTTCAGAGTCAGATAACTTAACTTTTTAACATTCATTAGCAGTGGCGTGTACTCTCACAATGTGGGTATCAAACACGTTATGGGCTTGGTAAAAAGGGCTAATATTTGGTGGCTCAAGTGTTTCGGGTTCTCAAACAGTGTAAAATGGATGCATGTCATTATGCGAAATCACAATGAGACACAAACCAACTAGGAGGTACATAGCTTCCCTTAAGCTCGGATCAAATCAACCAACACACTACCCCAATCAAATCAATGCGTACCCTTGATGCTTATCAACGTAACTAATATCAACTCGACATTTCCAGTTCCATTCATTCTCCTTTCCCATTTATTCTTTTCATTTCCATTTTTTTTTTTTTTGAACGAGGGAGTGGAACCGGTGTCTCACATAATCTGCATCAAGAAAAACCGCAAGCGATAACAACATATCTCATGAATACAACCTCTAAACCATAGTGGCTCAATCTCATCATATATCAGCAACCAGTAAACTACAACTCACTATCCTAACAGAAGGAAAGCTATGTCGGTCCGTATACTCCGTAGTTTTCGTACATGGATGCATATCATGATGATCATATAAGAATGCATGATCGTATACTCTGCAATTGCTTCAAATGCTCGCCAGAATGACCTGTCTTCACTAATTCGGGTATAACTAATGAATGTACCGTTAGATTTCCTTCAAATTACTTGGAAACTCAAGATAACATCTTCATATAGCTTGTGTCAAAATTTCAGAAAGATCTAACGGTGGTAAGTCTTCCATCTTAGGCCAAACGTCAGACACTTCTAACCAAAACTTCATCTCCAAATGTGTGTTAATATCCCAAAACATCTCGTTTTCCTCCGAAGCAACCTCAAACCTGCAAAGACTCGATAAAGGACTAAAAGACTCTAAAAACAAACTTTGAGTCTATAAAATATATGATCTAGGAAAGAAAACAAAGACTCAAAACCGATAAAAACAGAACATATCACTCAGCTCTCTTAATTCTCCAAGACGTCTTCAACTCCTCTTTATATACCCAAAACGATTTCCTAATCACCATAAGAGAAGATTTCTAAATTCAATAAGGAAAAGTAAATTTCCTTTTACACTTTTCCTTTTTCTCACCAAACTCCACTTTCATCAAGTCTTCCAAATCTCTTTAGGTCATTTTTCCTTTTTGATTCGTCCTCTAAACACGCTCCAAACATACTTTCTCAAATCTTCTAGAAACCTACACTCACACAAAAACATTCGCATCTTGAATTACTTCTTGAAGCATTCATCAATTCCATCAGAAAAAATCTTGTATTACTTCTTGACTCATTTAACAACTCCACCAACAGCATTCATTCTCCCCCTTTTTGACTATGTTTGTGAACTCAACAGTTCTAACTCCAAAACAACATCACGAAACACATCATCATTCTCCCCCTGAATGAGTCACAACATGGTCAAAACTACTTGGAAAATTCTCTCCGCTTTGCAATACGAGGTTGATAGCCTAGTACACCACCTCCATAGAAATCATCTTTCCTAACCCAAATCTTGTTGCACCTTAAACCTTCATGACTGAATTCTCGAATGAATCTGAAACAATTCCTATTAATATGTCCTTGAACTCCACAATGATAACATGTAGGACCACAAAATCTCACATTGTAAGTGTTCTCCATTCGATTTTTCACCCTCAACAATCTAAAAAATCTTGGCCTAATATGCCCAACAACTCCACAATGATGACAAACATGTCAAAAAATCCGTCGAGGTGCATTCTTCAATTCTGGAATTTTCCTTAAAGCTGATGCAGTCTCTGTACCGTTTCTCATAGTAGTTCTCGTATCAGATGCAGTCTCTGCCACAGTTGCAGTTTCTGACACACTTCTTGATGCAGACGTGATTTTCCACCATAAACAAACACTGGATCCGATTTTGAAAGACTTCCTTTAAATCCAAGGCCACACTTATCAATCTTGCCTATATTCAGAATATGATCCAACTTCTTTGTGCCATTATTAAGCATCCTCAAATTCTTTTGAGTTTCTTCAAGTTGCACTTTAGCTTGTGCTGCTTCTTCTTCTTTCTCAGCCGCATATTTCTGTGCTTCAACAACCTTAGCCTCTAACTTGAGCTTCTCCTTAGTTAACACTGAATTTTCCTGAACCATTTTAAGCCAATGCTCATATAAGGCTTTGTAATTCTCATGAAACTCTTCATCACTGATACTTGCAGCATCTTCATCACTTTGATCATTGTCACTTTCAATTACAGCTCCTGTTGAAGACGCTGATGCAGACTCTGACACAGACGCTGATACACCTCCTACTACATATATGACTCAAAGGTTGTAAACGCCACAAAACTCTTCACCTCTTCACCATCATCTGAATCAGTTTTAGAGTTACTCATAATAAGTTCCTTCTTCTTTGGCTTCAGCAAATTCGCACATTCCAAACGCACATATCCAAAACCTTTGCACTCAAAACATTGTATGCCCTTTGATAAATTGCCCAACTCTTCTCTGCTTCCATTAGCCCTAAACCCGTGAAGAGATTTGTTTCCCTCATTCCATGAGAACCGCTTCTTGAATGGCAACCTCAATATCTCCATCAATCTTGATATCAAACTCTGTCTTACTTCCTGAACGATTTCCTAAACCTCACCCTTGAGCTACCCGAAACAAGACTAAATCTCTATCGAGAACCATCTCTGATACCACTTGTAAGTGCGAGTGAGGTAATAATAAAATGCCAAAAGTAAACGAGACAAAAAATTTATTAACGAGGTTCGGTTTTTCCCATTCCCCGTGACCTAGTCCAGATTCGATTTCACTAGAACAAAAAAGCAAATTATAACCAATTCGCAAACTCGTAAAACAAGCACAACCCTCTTGATTTACCGCTCCCTTCTATAACGTGAAACCTTAAGGATAATCTCTACCCTTAACTAAACTCCTCCTGAGTCTAGATTTAATTAGGATAACCTAACCCTGAGCTAAACTCCCACTGAGCCTAGACTTCAATTCTTCAAGTCTCTGCACCAACCGTCACACACGAACGTTACACCAACAGACAAATAAGCTTGATCATACAAGCATCAAACCGCGAAACTATATCGCACAAAACCGCGAAACTATGTCGTACACACCCTGAGAAAGCTCTCAATGATTTGTCTCTATGCCTCAGCTTTCTTACTTCTCCAAGACGTCCTCAACTCCTCCTTATATACCCAAAAAGATTTCCTAATCACCATAAGAGAAGATTTTCAAATTCCATAAGGAAAAGTAAATTTCTTTTTACACTTTTCCTTTTTCTCATCAAACTCTACTTTCATCAAGTCTTCCAAATTTCTTTAAGTCTTTCTTCTTTTTTGATTCGTCCTCTAAACACGCTCCAAACATATCTTCTCAAATCTTGTAGAAACCGACACTCACATAAAAACCAGGGCCGGCCCATAGCTAAAGCTGGTGAAGCTGGTGCTTTAGGCATCATATTGGTATATATATAATTTTGGGGCATCATTTTGTTAAAATGTCGTTAGTGTAGTGGTTTATGTTGATATGAAAATGTGTCCTTGGACTTTAATGTTGTGTGTTCGAAACCTCCAAAGTCCCAATTGATGTTTTTCTTTTAATAAATGCATTTGTTAATGGGCTTCATTTTTTGTTTTGCTTTAGGTAGCTAAACATAACGGGCCGGCCCTGATAAAAACAGTCGCATCTTGAATTACTTTTTGAATCATTCAGCAACTCCATGACACAAAATCTTGTATTATTTTTTGACTCATTTAACAACTCCATCAGCATCAACTACATCTTCATCATAATCCTTTGCTTTGTAGATATACGGAATAGATGGTCAACTAAACATTGTAGTATTGACATAATTAAGTTAGAAACATGTAACACTTGGTAGAGGGATTCACATAGCAAAAAGATGATCGTTTTGATTTACGAATGAGTTTGCGCATATATATATGTGATGAGAAAATAAAAACAGAAAAGAGATAGATATACGGAATAGATGGTCAACTAAACATTGTAGTATTGACATAATTAAGTTAGAAACATGTAACACTTGGTAGAGGGATTCACATAGCAAAAAGATGATCGTTTTGATTTACGAATGAGTTTGCGCATATATATATGTGATGAGAAAATAAAAACAGAAAAGAGATAGATATACGGAATAGATGGTCAACTAAACATTGTAGTATTGACATAATTAAGTTAGAAACATGTAACACTTGGTAGATATACACATGGAATGACATCCAAACTTAGTTCATCGAGAGAAACATTGAACAATTTTTTGGTTTTTAACTAATCTTATCTCTTAAAAAAAGTATATTTATTTCCTTGCCCATCGATCATTTTTTGGTTTTAGTGTCTAATTTGGATAATCTGAACTGATTCAATCCAAATGAAACAAGGAAAAAAAAAAGAACTTATAAAAAAGAACTAATCTTTGCTAAATGAATTATAAAATGAAATATACCTTAATTGGTCAGATCATATCACTACTTTTTCTTTCGTCAACCATATATATCAAAGAGATCAGAACACTACGTCATCCTCTAAAATTGAAACTATTGTGATTAATCCAAATGGTAAGTGAGTAGATTTTCACTACAATGATTCTTTTTACAAAATGTTACAAGAATTTTGGTATATCCTGAGTCTTTAGACTCTAGATTCTAAAGCAAACACATAACACATATACTGTTAAACCTATATACCTCCTATTTTTTCTCCCATACAACCGATATGCAATGTTCCAATTTCCAAAATCAGAAATTCCAAACACAATCAAGATTCACTGGTCCAGTTGAAGCACAAGGATCGTGACCGTGCAAAGAACTCGCGATTAATTCACTCTCCGAGGAACCAGAATTCTGAAGATTCTTCTTGAATTGGGTTTCTTCACTGTCAAGCAACATCTTCAGTATGGAAGAATTGTCTTGCAGAAACAGAGGACCATAGTCTAGCAGAGAACTAATGTTTGGTATCAAATTAGTCGATGCCGAACCGAACATGGTATTTTTAAAATCGTCTTTAAACTCGACCACAAGACTCTTGTCGTCGGTTGTTTTGTCGAGGAAGCAGGTCATGTTAGAAAACAAACCACCAAGGGTGGTTCCGGCAAAAGAGTCTCGTCCTCTACTCTTTAGATATGGGGAAGAATCCATCAGCGGAGGTAAACCGACGGACATATGCGCCTTCGTACCATCTGCCCGTTTATGAAAAACACGACTAATAACACATTCGTTCTGTATTCACAAACAACACAAAAAAAACTTATAAATCAAAGTTTTGCTTTAAAAAAAAAAACTTAGCTCACAATAAAAACAGAGAACTATGATATATATGTCTATATATTTATCTCACCTTAGCGGTTTTAGGGAGATTATCGATGGCATATTTGCCTTCTAAGCGATATTCATGCATGACCCAATTGGTTTTTACTCCTTTAGGAGCTCTTCCTTTGTAGAAAACCAAAGTTTTCTTCATACCAACAAGAGATTTCCCTTTGAAGATCTCTTTATCTTTCCCTGTAGCTTTCCAATAACCGGCTTTAGTAGCCCGATTCGTCCTTAAACCGGTCGGGTATTTCCGGTCTCGTACGCAAAAGAAGTACCACTCTTTTTCCCCAATCTTAGCCTTCCCTAAAAAAACAGAGTGATTAGAAGTAACAAAACATAGATTTTTTTAGATACCAAGAAAAGAAATGACCTATAACTTACAAGGCAAGTCCCATGGCTCGACCTTGTTGAGATCAACTTCACCAATAGCTATAGCAGAAAAAAAAGTGTTTAGAACCTTTGGTCTTAGATAGTGAGTTATAAGTTCTTCATCAGTTGGGTGAAATCTGAAACCAGGTGGCAAATCAATCTTCTCTGAATCTTCTACTTCTCCTTCTACGATCTCCCCAATTCTTGATACCTTGTAATCCATTTCAGATATCAAAAGTTTCAACTTCTGGCCAAATGTTTTGTTTAATGGTTTTGGAAATGAAGAAAGAAGATACAGAAAGAGTTTTTTGATGTTAAAGCTCTTATACTAGTTTGTGTAAAGATGAAGAACAAATATTAATATAGGTTTTATTCACCAATAATTGGTCATTGTTTGGTATCAAAATTACTGTTTTCTAAAACTATTTAAATCCGAAGGAAAATATACAAAGTAGAGAGAAATAAAGCTATATAATAATATCTCAATTTTATATTAATAAAGTATATATATATATATATATATATAATCTGATGTAGACCTGAACCAACCATAACATATATATAACATCGTTCCAAAAATATATTATAAAATTAACTTTGGTTTAATGCTATCTTTAGTTTCTATTACAAAGATGCGTAGTTCAACAGGCAACTTAAGATGTTATTTTGAAGATATTTTTCTTATTACAAAATTATTAAACCTTTCCGTTTCAAAAACTTTAATGCCTCCAAGTTTCAATTTGACCAGAAACATTTCACTTGTGGCTCCCCATCCATTCTGTTGATGCGATAAGAACAATCTTATCACATCACTGATGACGTTTTTGTCCATTCTTTAAACTAATTTTTTATATTTTCATAAGAAGAAAAGATAGCAAAGTTTTTTTTTTTTTTTTTTTTTTTTTTTTTTTAAACAACTTATATTAATATACCCAACTACCCAAATGGGTTTAGGCCAAGGCCTACACAGAAAATCGAAACAGTTACAAAAATGGTTAAACGGAAAACTCGCCGGAAAAATAAAAAAGGCTCGAATCCTGTTGATCATCTGCCGCAGAGAGACCGGAACCTTAGATCCGGCGAAATCAAAACCACAGCTTCGTGGAAGCCTCAAAGGAGCTAGAACACAGCCGAGAGATTTCGGTTCCCGACCACACTCGCCTTCCTCCGACGCACCAAGCCCGCCACAGATCTCCCAGAAAGCTAGCCCCTCCGACAGCAGGTTCGACGACGACGAATCCCGACCTAGCAACCCGACGTACCTGGATTTATCCCCAATTTTCTCAAACCAAACCTTTCCGATTAACCAGAGCCAATAAACTTCAATTCGGGCTTGTGGATGCCAGAAGCGGCAGATCCAGAAGATGGTGGCTCAACCAAACCTCTGAACCCAGAACCCGCACCAGCCATCTAAGCTCCGAGCCACCGGAACTACCGTTAACCACCTCGCCAAACAACGCAACCCACCAGACCCCATCAACTTCCGCCGTGGTTGCAGCGAACAGAGCAGCGGCTGAGCCTGAGGAACTTTGAAGCAACCACAACGTCCTTTAAACCGTGACCCACCGCTGAAAAATTCCTCCTCCGCCAAACCGAAGCCACATCCACATCGATGAGGAGACACCACACCACCGCTGACGGAGAAGCTTATTGACTCACTCCTGACCGACCTCTGAGAGTCCTTGACCGGCGATGAAGAACAGATCTAACAAGAGAAACTGGATCTGAAACTCGTCTGCAAGAGAGAGAGAATGGCACGATTACCAAAGCAACGATTGTGCCTTTTTTAAGTGTTTTTATATATATCCATTGAAAACATTTTTAGTTCTATATTGGGCAAGAGCTTGAGCTCTTTCTAACTTAAGAAAACTACTATAACCAGAGCAACACATTGTGGCTTGGCTCCTGTCACTTGTCCAGATATAATTTTACGTCTAGAGTTTAAACTGTATATCATGTACGTGTAGATTAAATTATCTCTAGCTATAACATTTATGATTTGTTATAACTTATAACTGTCGATGGATCTTTTACATAGCAAAAAGAGATATTAGAATTTTGCGTTTAGATTTGTGTAACATGATTTTTGTAATCACGAGAATGTAATCTAATTAACTTTCTTAGTAAAACTTTTGTGGATATATATACATGCATAAATGTACTGTTCTCTTATATATACTGTTATGGGTGGATGTCTCCTATGTCCCAAGACATCTTTATATATGTAAGGGGTTCAATTTTTTCGCAAGCGTTGTTCGCATTTGTATCAAACTCCATCATAGATAAGCTTACAAACTAAGCAAGAATTTGAGATCTGCGTTCTTTCCTTCCCTTTCTCTTGTGAGCAAGTAGCAACACTAGACATTTGAAACTGTGGAATAAATTTAAACCGTCTAAAGCCGGCTTAGCACTAACCGAAGACGACGAATATGGGGAACCGTCAGAAACAGGATTGGCAAGTAAAAGGATAGTTAGCTACAATGCCCAATTTTGAACAGAGAGAGCAAAGAGGTGGCAGTTATTTTTTTTTTTTTTTGGATAAACTCTATCGGCTGATCCGGTTAGCTTCGGTAGAAACGTACCGAAGTGCTTCAGAGTGGACTACTCCCCGAAGGGCCACCATACTGTTTGTCCCGAGTTTGGAATGCTTTCCGACTAATGTCAGGGGTAGCCAGATCGCCTGTTACTGGACTACCAGGTAAACTGCTTATGCCTTTTGGCCCAAACCCAGACTTCACACACAAATGTGTTTTTTATTTCCACACAATGGTGGCAGTTATTTGCACCAAGATTACTTGATGCATCTCTTTTTTTTTCTTCTTTTTTTTTTTTTTTTTTTTCTCAAATCTCTCTATGAAAGTAGATATTTCTTTCTTTGAAATTTGACAATTTCTATTCTTTTAATATGTTTTAGTTATTTAAAAATCCTACAAAGCGGCTTGGATATCAAGCTGAGTATCTATAATCGCCGGATATTTGGTTAGTTGAACATGAATAATAAAAAAATGAACCGAACCAACATAGAGTGGAGGAGTTCACAAGAATTAAAGATATTTTCCACTAATTTCAACCGTAGTAGTGTCAAATAGCAATCTTCTTCAGATCTGGGAGCTGGTATTTACTATAGACAGTCAACATTATGATCAGGATCAGCAAAGATAAGTGCCAGAGAGGAGACAGACGTAAGACGTGATTAGTTTTCAATGGTCCTCAAAAGGTAAGCACTAACCTTTGTTCTTACGAATTTAAACAATTACTACTTAAAGTGGGTTTTGACCAGCTTCCTGGCACAAACATGAGTAAATTTAACGATTCGAAACAAGACACGTCTCGTTTTGCCGAAGGATATTGACGATTTATGTCATTGTTTGTGTTAGGCGACCCAATTTTGTGGATATATTAAAGTAACTACTTATTATTTATAACTTGGCAAATTATTCATTAGATTTGCTATATTTTAGTCTTCATTTTGGTTTAGTATATGTTTTGACATAGTCCAAAAATTGATTAAATATACTTTCTCCGTTCCAAATTTAATGTTGTTTTAACCTATTTTTTATTTAAAATAAATATCACTTTATGATTTCAATTAAAAAATTGATATGAATTTTATCAATTTTAGTCATACATAATGGTATTCAAGAATATAAAATATAATAAAGTCCAAGAATCAAATATACTAAATTTTATTTTGTTTCTTAGCTCAAAGTTAAAAGTACTCATCCAAAATGTAACAAACACACAAATTCCAAAATTTAAAAGTTTCAAATATCCATTTAATCCATACTGTATTTACATATTATAACATAAGCTTATAATTAATTTTGTTTCATTTTAAGTACCTTTGAAATACATAAAAATAGCTTTCAAGAAGACACTAATAAATAATGTCCCTAGAAACAGTAGATGTTGGGTCAGATTTTTATAATCCTACATACAGTTGAAATAGTTCTATTTTATTGAAACTAGGTAATTTAGCTGTGATACTCGCGGCTTGTTGCACACTATGTTATATGTTTGCTATTTATTTTATTTAGTTTTTTTCGTTTGAATTTAAAATTTAAAGAAAAATAAATAAATGAATGACAGTAATTTCAAATTTGATTTTTTATATAAAATTTGAATTGTATTCATCTATATACAATGATATTTATGTTTTTTAAAAAATAATTAAGAGTATATTACTGCTTTTAATCAATACAATATTTGATGCCAATTAGAAATTTTAAGAATGTTGAAGATAAAATTAATGATTATAGTAATATAATATGTATACATAAATAATACTTATTTTGTTAAAATGTGAAAATATTAAACCCTACTATGAAAATTAAGTTACATCGTTTTCAATTTATAATTTATATTTTAATAGTAAAGTTGATATTTTAAATTTATCCAAATTTAAAAGTAATTGTTGCATTTTAAAAAATTTAAATATAATGGTAATACAAAAAAATTTCTATTATTTTCTACTTAATGAAAATATCATAACCAAATGTTATACATATTGGGTTTAGGCTGAGTTTTGAATTAAGTCTAGCGTTATATTTTGATACAACTTGATTCGAAGTTGTTTATCTGCTTAATGAAAATATTTAAAATCACATAAATGACGTAACAAATGTTGAAACACCATTTTATTAGTTTATTCTCCGTTAATAAAATAACCATTTTATGCTACTTGTAAAAGCATAATTTATTTGAAAAATGTATAACAAATAATTTATTCCGTAATTTTTTTTACAGATTAAGAAATAGATGTAGGAATGAAGATGAATTATATCATAAGAGATAAGTGAAGAGAGATGAATTATTTTATCATACAATTCAAGCATCTGCTTCCACTCCCACTTAACATTTATGTTGTTTCGAAATATACTCAATTGTATTTTTTTCTTCTACTCATCATTAGTCTTCTTGATTTTCTTCTTAATCTCACTTCAAAAATATCAAATTTATTTTGAGTTAATCCAAATTCAGGTTTATATAGATTGATTGTTTTGGACAAAGAAAATCAACCTTACTATATCTTCTTTTGTTGCATTACAAACTTCGGGTTTCTCTACTCGCTCATTTTAAAAGACCTCTGAAATAACACATACGATTGTGAGTAAGGTTTTTTGGCTACATGTCATCTCCTCTTCATAGCCTCTTACAAAATTGACAAAAATATTATATTTAAACACCATTAGTCGGATTATAAAAGAAAGTGTTATAAAATTTATCAATATTATGAAATTTGGAATATGATGGTTAGTGGTATGTGTATATTATTATTTATAGAAGACAACATATTTACGTTTTACAACTATTCAACTTTAACAATTATGTTTAAATGTCATTTATGAGTAAGTTAGTTGTATGTATATCATAAAAGTTATGTTATATTTCAAAGAATTCATTGTGTAGAATTCATTTTGTATTAATTGTATTTAAAGTATTGTTGCAATTTAGTGTGAGCATTAATAACGTAACGATAATTATTAGTATGAAGGTTACAAAATATGAGAAAATAAGTAAAATATAATTATTATATGTTATTATAGAGAAATCTTAAATTGTTACATGCTAATGATGTAGATGACATTTGTTTCAATATAAATATGATTGAATTTTTTTTAAAAGCTCTTAAGATTTGATATCTTGCATTTGCTCGTATTTTAGTATTGTTTTTTACTTTACTATTATTTATGTTTGTAAACATCAATAAACATATGTTATCTATTACTTTTACAAAATAAATTGTTGAGATAAACTCACAGATAATTTTTTTGTTTGTTGATATAAACTCCCACATAATAGTTCTAATTCAGATTATTTTGCAAGTGGCAAACTAAATTTATTTTTCTTATAAAAATCATATGAACATCAATCTAATTAAAATCATCAAAGATCCAAGGATAACTTCTATCTTTTTATTTTTTAATTTCACTCATCAATTTATATTATAGCTAGTGTTAGATTTTACACTAATGATTTTATTTTTATACGATTTAATAAAATGATTTTTGTTTTAATTATAATTATTTTTTTGTATATTTCACTCTATTTAAGTATGAGTGTTAGGTTTCATTCTAATGATTTCATTCTAATTTTCTATTCTACCTAAATTTAATTTTCTTGAACCATATGATTCGTTTTTTTAATCTTAAGGACCAAATATTTTTTAACGAAACTCTTTTTAATTTGAAAAATACTTAAACCTCAAACTTTAAATAAAATAAACAGTATAACGATTTTTATATAATTATCTATTGGATCACAAAAAGTAAATATAATAATACATATATTAAAAATAAATTACAAAATTTATTCGAGATAAGAAAAAGGTAAGAAATCTATACAATAATTTGTTTCATTAAATATTGCATAATTAAAAAAATAAACAGTATAACGAGTTTTATATAAATATCTATTGGATCACAAAAAGTAAATATAATAATACATATATTAAAAATAAAGTACAAAATTTATTCGAGATAAGAAAAAGGTAAGAAATATATACAATAATTTATTTCATTAAATATTGCATAATTAAAAAAATTACATGAATATATTAGAAAATAATCAAACATCTAAAGTAAATAATGGAAATGGATTTTTTCAACTTCATTATCTTGTTGTGCTATGATTGGAATTGATATATTTAACTCTCCATCACCAATAAACCTGAAAAATTTGTTATAACTATCAAAACTTTTAGTATACATATGTGAATTTAAACTAAAAATATGAAAATTAAAGAATAAATAAGTATATTTTAGTATGGCTTTAGAAATATACAAAAATGAATACAATGTTAGATATATATAATACATTCTAAAATAAATTTAGAATCAAATTCTTGATTTTCAATCCATATAACAACATAAAAAAAATAGACGCATAAATATAGTTGAAGAAGATGAGAGAATGATTACTTATATGATGATTATCTAAAATAGACAATGAAGATGCATCTTTCAAAAAAAAAAAAAACTAATGTAAGAACACAAAACAAAAAAATATTTAAGATTTGAGCTATAGTGGAAGAGGGTTAGAGAGTGAGAGGATGAGAGGATGAGAGAATGAGAGGATGAGAGGATGAGAGAATGAGAAATGAGTATTTATAGGATGAGAAGTGAGATAAGTTACAATTAAAAAAATTAAATTTTGGAAGTTACAATTCTAATTTATTATGTGTTGAATAAAATTGAATAGAAAAATATAGTTAATGATTTAAGTTTTTATATTAAAGTGTGAGTTAAATGTGTTTTATTTATGATTTAATTAAAAATAAAAAAAATTAAGTTACATTTCTAAATGGACCAATAAAAAGAGAGTGAAACTCTACTTTTATATGTATGATTTCTATTGAAATTCTATGTTAAACTATTAAATCAATTAGTGGGGTTGATAACGTATCTATAAATTGTCCGAGAGATAATGGATTCAAATACTATTTTGACTTACTTTTTAATTAAAAAGACGTTGTTTTATATATTTTAATATAATATCTCAACGGAAATTTAACTTTGTTTTGATGGTCTTGGAATGCACAAGCATTTATTTGTCCAAACTCTTACACACAAGTGCAACAAGACATGATAACATATCTTAGTAAATTATACTTCTTCCGTTTTATATTAAGTGTCGTTTTTAGACTTTAAAGTTTGTTTTAAAATAAGTATCGTTTTAAATTTTTAATGTAGCTGTTTAAAAAAATTACAGTTTTATCTCTACTATATTAATCTGTTGACTAATGAAAAAAATTGTATAATATATTAATAAGAGACTGAATAGAAAATATAATAATTTTATTAATTAGTGTCAAAAAAACCTTGAAGGATATTTATAATGAAACAAAGGGAGTATTGTTTATGATAACTATTTTAATTCATTGACCGGTTAAAAATCAGACAGAATGCCAACAACTAACCTAATTGTAAACATGATACATCATATCTAAACTTCAACGCTCACCACTTGTTGTTTTATAACAAAATAGTACTTAAATTAATAATTTTGGATCTATACCGACCACTTACTCTTCAATAAGGAGTTGACTTTTCTGTCTATTCAAAAGGCCTCAAAGTAATCCCCAAAAGACCATATTTTGTCTCCATCATTAACTTATAATTACAAAATCACAACACACAACCAAACCCACATCAGAAAATCATAACCAGAATCTCTCCATTCATCAAAGAATCTTAAAAATGGTGAGAGAAAGAAGAAAGACGGAGAAAGTAGAAGAGAAGCAAGAAGTTGTAGATCAAGAAGAGAAGGTGAAGCCAAGACAAAGAAGCGTGAGCAGAAGAAACATGCAATCTCTGGTGATCGGACTCGTTGGAGCCGTGTTAACTCTCGGTGCTTATTCTCAGACATATGTTGATCCGGGCAAATCTCTTGGCGCTGGCCTCTTTGTTCTCTTCTTTGGCTTGCTTGTCAGCGAAGGTTTCATCTCTCTTTAAAAAGAATGATTCTATATATGCAAATCAAACCTTTTTTTTTTGTTTATGTATGTTACAAAATTACGAATATCTTTGAGCATCTCGTTTCATTTTTATTTTATTTCTATTGTTGGGGATATCTTGGACTTTTGAATTAATGTGATGACCAATTCCATATTGTTTTTACGGATTAGTGTTTTTTTTTTGTCTTGTAAGAATATGTTTTAATCTTTGAGAACAGATTTGAGAAGAAAATGTTGCAACAAATCAGTTTTGATCCTTGATGATATGTATGTCTGCACATAAGTAATATGAACGGAATGATACTCTTCAACATATTGGGCTAACGTTGACTTTTTTTTTGGTACAAAAAGTTGACTTGACTTGGGACATGCTCTTAGCTGTAAATTAAAAAAAAAGATGCTAAATTTGATACAAATGAACGCTATCTAAATTATATATTTCGAAATATTTCACAACCACAAAGATTATATATAATTTACAAATAGAATTTTGCAGTAAAAACAATCATCACTATTCGTTATATTTATTTTTATATAATACAATTAGATACTTAGCAACGTGTAGATTTAATTAAATATTATACCACCACCGATTACATTATCTTTTTTTTTTTTTTTTTTTTTTGAGCAAAGCACCGATTACATTATCTAATTGTGAAGAAATGTCCGGGCCGTAGATATTGCGTTAGATTCGTTATTGGGCCGCTTAATTATGAATTTATTGGTTTTTTTTATGATAAACATTGTTTTAAGTCTTCCATCAGACACTTGTCTTTGTAAATATACAAATTTCTTCATCTATTGCTAATGCCATCATAATCTCATAACATAAGGACTTAGGAAACATCATTTTCATAAGCTGTGTTTGAACTTTAAAGCATGATTAATATCGACTATCAAATTAAGAAAAGGTATTTTACATTTATTGGATGAAGAACAAAGCTATAATGGAGCTTGTAGATCAAGATGGTGATGATAAAATAAAATAAAAATACGTATAATTGGTGGCTATTGTTTTGTTTCGTGTACATTGTACTTGTGTGTATAATATATGAGCTGGTTTACATTAATCAACCGTCACAATTTTTAACTAACAAGTTTTACCTTTTAGCTTCATAAAATGGTGTTGTTTGTTTTGTGTATTATTGGAAGACCAAAAAACAAAAGTGGTGTTGTTTATGTGTTAAAGAATTCGTATAGTGGACAAAACTAGAGGACGAGTTTCACTATTTACGACTATCACTGTGTTTTCTCTTGGTCCGTATAAACACCATAAATAGCAAAAAGACCCAAGTTTTTATATGATTCGAAGATTGGTTCAGGTTGCAGTGTGAATCTAAATTAGCTATGGTGATATGAACAATTTTTTTTTATCACCGACATAATTAGCTGAAATAGCGTCATGTCAAAGTCAATATTTTCCAACCACCATGCTTCATGCATGTGAGAATGGGTACTAGTGTTCTACCAAATTTGAGTAGGGATTAAGACTTCACTCGGAAAAATGGTAAAACGTGCAAAAATATTTACACTGTTTACATATCAATTCACTTATAAGAAGTAAAATTTGTGTTCAAAATTAGTAACAAATTTATTACAGATATTTTATGATATACATATATATTCTACTACACTTTTCTAATCGATAGAGTTATTGATTTTGTAATTAATATTCCCTCCGTTTCATAAAGAGTGTCGTTTTAAGGTTTTAATCTCGTTTCACAAAGAGTGTCGTTTTGTGTTTTCAATGCAGTTTTAAAGACTAATTCTCTTTTCTAACCTCACTATTTTAGCCTATTAATTAGAGAGAGGGTATTATTTAGTGTATTAATAAGGTGTATAAATGAAATTTGTTTCCTTTTCTTAATTTATGTGAAAAATGTTAGAATGACACTTTTTATAAAACAGTGTGAGTAATTCTTAAATCCTTAACAATGATTAATTCAACTTTTTCCAAACAAGTAATTACTCAACCAAACGAGATGCTTAAAACCACGTGTTCTTAACTAAATGGTCCATTAATTAATTGACCATTTGATATCTTTAACACGTTGTATACTAAATATGTATATGTTATCTTTCATATGGTCTCACCATATTAGAGAAAGAGTTATGAATTTCGTCGATGGAAGACAGAATAAGTCAAAAACAATTTATATTTAATACTTCCTCGATATGCACATGTTTGAAAATAAAACGTATTTTCCCAAATTGAATTTTTTGGTAAGAAGAAAATCATTACTATTGGTTTGTAATTTCTATATATGTAATCAAAGTACGTTAATGTTATTTAATATTCTTTCTGTAAAAGAAGAGATCAGTGCTAACATATTCTTTTTTTCCGTTAAAATGAATCTTAACCACTAGGGTCAACAAATTTGATTCGACTATTCGTAATTGGAATTAATTACTTTACCGGTCATTTAAACTTTTTATTTATCTTTGATTTTCCTTAATCTCTTCAGTCTTTGCAAATTAAGCTTATGACCTTTTTTCTCAAACTAGGTTTGAATATGTGAACAAAGATTGCTAAAAGAATTTTATGATGGTTAGAAAACGATTTTGTCATTTTGTAAGAAAGATAATTATTTTCAAAACGTCTTTCTACTAGTTTTTCATGGAAGTCATTTTCTTTTTTATAAATCCTATTTAGTAGAAACGCACCAAAGTGTTATATAATGGACTATTTTTCGAAGGACCACCACACTGACTATCCCGAATTTGAAATGTTTTTCGACTAATGTTTAGGGATAGTCAGATCACATGTTATTAGACTACCAGGTAAACTGTTTGAATCTTTGATCCAAGTACAAACTACCCACATGGATGTGATATTTTTGCTTGCAAGAAGACTCAAACCTTGGGGAGAGTTTTAGAACATTTCCAAATATCACTTACTACTGAACGTCAACCATGCGGGCAATGTATATTTTTTGTTAGCCAGAAAATTTCATAACGAATCTCAAGTCTAACCGAGAAACATCAAAATCTAGAAAATATCAAAACGTTTTTTATTTAAATCGTACCAAATGATATAAATCATATTAAACTAAACATATTTTCTTTTACTTTAAAAACTAAAAAATATTTTCGTACATTTTTATGGTAAGAAATATATTATTTTGATTTGAATATAAACAAATGTGAAAGGCTGCATAATATCCGCTAAAAAAATTAAAATTAGAATTACATAAATTATGAAACTTTAATATACCAATTTTAAGTGGAATTGATATATTATACTATATACTCATATACATTTCATTAACAAAAAAAAAAAAAAAAAAAAAAAAAAAAACTCATATAAACTCATTATATAAATTTGATGCGCAATATTTTTTTGGCTAGCTTTGATGCGAAACATCACTATTAGTAGCCCACATTCAAATAAAAACACAATAAATCGAAAAGAAAAGAAAAAAAGAAAAAAAAAAAGGACTCAGACGTAGGCATGACCACGGTTACGGTTATTACGGTTACGGTCGATTAACCGCCGCTTACGGTTATAAATTTTCTTTAACCGTAACCTTAACCATTATATATACGGTTAAAACGGTTACGGTTAAATACGGTTACGGTTACAACGGTTACGGTTAAATACGGTTACAGTTATTTGATGATTACGATACGATTAATATCGGAGGTAAAATCTTACGAGTTACCTAACTTTTTATACTACTTTGAATAGAATAAAAAAGTATGTTATAAACAAATTTTCTTCATTTTTAGCAATCTAGCATTAGAACATATTTTTTTGAGAAAAAAACTATTTTTCCTAACGTAGATTTTTTAATGTGCGGTATCATTTACTTTTTTTGAAAATCTTTATCTGAACATTCAAAATTTGTTTTTGCATCATCCGCAGCTACAATCATATTTTGAAAGTTTTAACTATGCGGTTAATAGTGCGGTTAACCGTACGGTTAACTAACGGTTTTGACACATTTACGGTTAATTGACGGTTACGGTTAGTATATTTTTTAACCGTAACTAATCTGTTTTGACGGTTAACGGTTACGGTTTTTAACCGTTTTATACAGTTACGGTCCGGTTACGGTTGAAAAACGGTTCGGTTATGGTCCGAAATACGGTTACGGTTAGCTTTTGGTCATGCCTACTCAGACGCGTAAAATTGTAATAAATTGGTGATAACATTTTGTCTAGACAATTTTAAGCCCACGTATTGAAGTCATCAACATGGCACGCCAATTTTGTTTTTTTTTAATTGTCCCAAAACCCAACTTATTTAAATTACATACACTTCCAATATGCTTGCGTGGTCACAGAACTTTATGCCCACATGCAGATATAAATTGTAGAAAAAATGTTAAATTACATAAATTGATTCTTGGGCAATTTAAAATGTACAAAGACAAAAATGAAGTATGAAATTAGGCAATAGACATTATGAAGTTTTGGTCTTTAACAAAGATAAATACAATTGATAAATGAGCTTAAAGTTCGGAATATTTACGACAAAACCACCTCTTTTTTTGGTCATGCGCGTGAAAAAAAAAACATTTTTAACTTCAAAGGAAACGAGAAATCAAACTGTCAGCTATTAAATGCTCACAAGTTAAAGTAACCTAATTAATAAGCCATTTGATTTATTACAAAAACGTATATAGAGTGTTATTAATATTTATATACATATGAATATGTATGTAGAGCGTTATTAATATCTATACATGTAGTAACATATATAGAGAATTATTAATATTGTTTTGTACATATTTAAATATATATAGATATATAAAAAATTTTGGACATCCATGCAAAGATCTATAACGCAAAAAATGCAGATCTAACTGAACCCCGACGCTGTGAATTAAATAGTATATACGAGAGAATGATTGTGAATTCTCTGGCGCTGCGAAGTGAATAATATACACGACGAACCAGTTAAATCGGAATGAAAGACAATTGAACAATGGTGCTAAAGAGAGATGATGACACTTATGAAAATGATGAACAAAAGAGGTAAGTAGACTCCGTTCTTTAATAAGTGATGTTTTAAGCTTTTAATTTTGTTCTTAAATAGACGATGTTTTCAGTTTTCAATGCAAAATCAATTACTTTTTTTTATTGGTTTTGACGATTTATATTCTATAGATTATTTTTTTATTGGTTGATTAGATAATAAATAATGTTTTAGTTTAGAAATAAATAAAAATTAAATAATTTTTTAATCGATGTACATTCTCCTAAAACATCACATATAAAAGAACGTGGAAGTAAATAATAACCAAAACAATAATATATGTGCCACGTTACATTTTAGAGTAAAATTCACACGTTATTTGTATCTCGAAAACAACAACATAATTAAGTGTTTGTTTCATGTTTTGCGTTGGATCATTTTTAAAATAAGCAAATGCGTGAGGCTAAAGTGGGAAGGATTGTGGACTAATATTTTCATCGTTATGAACCCTGTGACACATTACTACAAAACTAATTTTGCTCAGATCCATGGTCTCTACCCCCAGTTATCTCTTGATTCTTCATGTTCAACTTTTTTTTTATTTTGTTAATGAAATGTATATGAGTATATAGTATAATATATCAGTTCGACTTAAAATTAGTTTATAAAAATTTATGTTATTTCAAATCTAAATTTATCATCTGTGGAATCTTAGTTTGGCCTATAGTAAAACATATTCTTAAAAAAAACTAATTAATGTTGGATAAAAATTTTATTCTAGGGCGGGTAAAAAAACCGGATTCGGAACCGACCCAAAAAAACCGGGTTGGGTCGGAATGTCGGATATTAGGTATGATCAATTACTCAATTTGATCATATGTAGTCCTATTTGTGGGTATCAAGTAATACTTGGAACGAATCTGATACTCGAACATGATCCGAATATCCAAACATATAATTAAATAATTAGAATATTAATTATATTTAATTTTAATATTATCCAAATATATCAATCAGTTTTATACCTAAATACCCAAAATAACCAAAATATCAAAAAATTAATTGTTATATTTGTCAAAATTTAGCCAAATTTATTCGAATATAACCAAATATATTTAAATTTAACCAGTTTTTGGAGGTTTTTTTTGGTATCCGCTATTTGGGTATTTTTTGGATTCTGAAAAACTAATTCTGAACCGACCCGAACTGAACTCGATTTTTTATAGTTATCCTATTATGTCTTAAAACCAACTACCTGTTTTTCCAAAGAACGGGTCCTGCCAGAATCCGGACCGATACCCATTTGCCCAGCTCTAGTTTACTCTTATATCTTGTTCTTTTAAAAATTTAAGATACAAAATTTATGCTTTCACAAAAAGGTACAAAATTTACTAATCACAATTCATTTTTTGAAAAGATTATTGTTAGCATTAAGTTAATTCTATGTCCCTCAGATATTGGTGTTAGTTATTCAACAATTTGGAGATCATAGCTTGAAGTCCATTATTAGTCTTTATAATCTTGATGTACAGATTTTAAATTTCAGGATTAGCAGGTTGAAAATTTTCAGTTTGATCAACCAGATGCTAATTTCCATTGAAATGAACTCGCTCATTCTCGACTACAAAATAGACAGAATTCAAATATACAAGAATAATACGCTTTTTGTTTGTTTGTGTGTGTGCAAACAAGCATAATACACTTATAATGTACAAATGGTTGAATTCAAATAAACAAAACATCTGTCGTTTTTCCTAGTTGTGTGAAAATCAGTATTTATTATAATTTTGTTTTGTTTCTCTAAGAATTTGTCTTTACGAAACTGGTTATGTTTTTTAGAGTACAGATCCACACTGATCACATGCATGCATGGACAAAGTTCGGCTTAAGCTGTTCGAGATCGAAAGACTGATGTCACCCATGAGTAACAATGTTATATACAAGTGTACGTTCTTTCCAAGATTCGAAAATTATCAAAATATTTTCGATCATAACATGTTTTAATATCGAGAAAACCATCTTTATGTATTGACTTAATGTTAAGAAAAGAGTCGAAGTGCAACAATTGAAATTGGATCATTCTGATTCTGATTTTTGTAAGATACAAACAATTATGCAAGTCTATATAAATATATCGGTAATATAACTGAAATATTTCCTTTGTTTTAATATAAGTGTCATTTTTTATAATAATTTTCATAGAAATAACAAATTAAACTATAAATTACCAAAAAAAATCTTTTACACATTAAAGAAACAGTTAATTCTTAACAATACACCTAGCCGCTCCCTTAACGATGGGGTAAAGCGTACCCGGATGCAAGGCCTCGTGGATTAGTCTTTGGGTCTAGAAAACCGTTGGGATCCCACGGTTTAAAAAAAAAAAAAAAAAAAAGAATACATGCAACATTTTCCTACATGAAATCATTTTTTCCATTTTATAAACCAATAGTACTTCATTTTTTTTCAAGTTTACAAAATATTAACATAAATTCATATGAATCTAAAAAATCATTTTTGTGGAATATATAAATAAATAAATAAACATAAAATTTTAATTTTAAAGACCGTATGGATGTATTATTTAATGTGTTGTATTTTAAATCTCAAATTAATTTATCGCTAAAGTTTAATCTTAATATATTCTCTCCCATTCATTAACAAAAGCATTAACAAGCTATATAATTTTCGATAGTGCTTTTTAAAATTTTACAGCTAATTAAAAAAAAAATTTTAAAAAATTTATAGTACTCATAAAAATAAATTTTAAACACTTTTTTATTTGAGAAAAAAAAACATAATTTTTAGTTATTACTTTTATTAATTTAGTTTAGGGAAAATTAGATGTTTTCTAGCTTAAATTTATAATAATAAAAGAGTAAAATAATATTTATCATAAGAATAGTGTATGACGACATTTATTATAAAACAAGAAAAATCATATATTTAAAATATTCCTGTGGAAATAAATTTTCATATTTTTTTAAATGCAGTTATATATATATATATATATATATATATATATATATATATATATTTAAATGATGGAGTTTCTGTGTGCTTTCCTTTTTTAGTTTCTATGTGCTTATATATACAGTTTTTAATATGGACTATAAATCATGAATATTAGTTTTCTCTCTAAACAGCTGTACCCATTTTTGTCCAATGACATATCTACAGTTTTATGAAAAGTCCCAACCGTTCTTCATCACTTCTTCTGCTACGAATACTATGTAGCCCCAATTTATAACAAATTAAGAAAACAAAAAGTAATAAAACCCAGACATAAAAATAAAGTGTTTCTAGTAAAACTTGGACCGAAAAATATTGCATTTAGATTCTAACTTTATTATCTGGATAATATTATTTATTGAGCTCTATATTGTCTGTCTCAAACACTCAAACCCTCAAAATTTATGAATGTAAATGCTGTTGCAAATCATGTCTCAATATGATTACTTTCTGACCTTTAAAATAATCAATACTTTCTACTATATAAAAAGAAAAAAGAAAAAATCTATAATGTTACAGTATCACTATCACATCTACTAATATCTGTTACGCATTTATTTCAATTTCTTGAGTGACCTTTACGATAGATTCCTACTCAGTTTGACAATTTTTCTTTGATCCAACTCTTAAATTAACATTCACCTCTACTTTTTCATTTTTCGTCGGTTCTTTAAAAAATTTAAACCCTTAAAAGAATTAAATTAAAATAAGTATAGTGAAGACCAATAAGCAATTGCATGGACCCTGATTGATTCATTACCGCTAAAACTTTGTCTGAATCCTTCTTCCTATTTATACCACTCTCTTCTTCTTCTCCATTTTCATTACACCGAACTTCTCACATCTCCACATTCTGCATTTTGACTAAAACACCCTTTTGTTTTCTCTCTCTCCTTTGCATGTTGTGATTCTTTTGCTTCACAACATGGGCGTTTTAGTAATCTCGGTTCTTGTGGTGCATCTCCTAGTTTTTTCCGTCTGCGTTCAAGGCGTATACCGTCGTGGTGGCCACCATCCCGGCGGCCACATGGGACCTTGGATCAACGCTCATGCCACTTTTTACGGCGGGGGTGATGCTTCCGGCACTATGGGTACGCTTAGCGATAAGTTCAATAAAAATCCTCCTTCATTTTCAATTTTTCACTTGAATCATATTAATTCAGCTGACAAAAAGGTAGTTTAGTCATTTCATCTTAGCTTCATCTCATGTTTTCAGAACTAGACCCCTCGTTAGTCGTAACATGCAAACAATTTCAACGGCTAATCATAAAAATGTTTATTAAAGTCTGAATTGTTTCAAATGTCAATTGTTATGATTTAAGGAAAAAGAAAAAAGTAACAGATTTATTGTGATATAAAACATTTTTTATTTTCATAAATATTTTTCATACAAAAATCTAAATGCAGACGAAAACTCTACTTCTGTTTAAAACAATAAAAATAAATACAATCCCAAACAGATAATCTGAGACCTAAGTTTTTGTTGATGAACTACATTAGGTGGAGCATGCGGGTACGGGAATCTGTACAGCACAGGTTACGGACTGGAGACGGCGGCACTGAGCACGGCGTTATTCGATCAAGGACTTAGTTGTGGCGCATGTTTTGAGCTGATGTGTGTCAATGATCCTCAATGGTGCATAAAAGGCCGATCCATTGTGGTCACTGCCACTAACTTTTGTCCTCCTGGTGGTGCATGTGACCCTCCCAACCACCATTTCGATCTTTCTCAGCCGATCTACGAGAAAATTGCTTTGTACAAATCCGGTATCATTCCGGTTATGTACAGAAGGTACAAAATTTATTAACCTTGATTAGAGCCTCACAATGGTGTTATTTGATGGCATGCACAGAACTGAACTATAGTGTATAGTTTACGAATATTATCTCACATTGAATTTTTATCAAAATTAAAAAAAAAAAAAATTAGAAATAGAACTCGTATCTTTGATTTTTGTAACACTTTAATTTCAAGTAGATTATAGATCTTCATTTTTTGACTTGAGAGATAAATATTCAAATTTTCTACTCGAATATTTAATTGAAAGTTGAAACTAATCGTAAAAGCAAATAATAAGGTAACACGACTAAGTTAAAGTTGTACTTATTTAGAACAGATGGACTTCTATATGTATGACTTTTGTCTTAACTCTAACTGGTTATCTCTTTTGTCTGTTTTTTTTTAAATATAAAATAATTTCTTATTTATTCTTTTTTTTGGTTCAAAAATTTGCTGTTTATTCTATCTTCTATTTTTGAACAAAATTTTTTGTAGTATTTTTATAGACTAACGATTAACGAAGGCAAAGTAAGAGTTCTTCTTACCTTAGTTATTGTTTCTGACTTTTCATAGAACATATGTGTCGAAAACACACAAAAGCCGCGTATAGTGAAACATTTATAATCAGCTTTTGGTCCTATAAATACGCATTTAATACTTTTGGACCAGTTGATACATGTGGTAGAAATAAGGTATTAAATTATTAATAGACCCAAAACTGAATAATAGTGACACACCAAACTTCCTAGTAGTACATAAGCTTTCATAATATATAGTTTTCATATAAATGATTTGTGTTATAGGGTTCGGTGCAAGAGAAGTGGCGGGATAAGGTTCACGATCAATGGCCACTCATACTTTAACTTGGTGTTGGTCACAAACGTGGGTGGAGCCGGGGACGTACACTCGGTCTCAATGAAAGGGTCGAGGACAAAATGGCAATTAATGTCAAGAAATTGGGGGCAAAATTGGCAAAGCAACTCTTATCTCAACGGTCAAAGTCTGTCGTTTGTTGTTACCACAAGTGATCGTCGAAGTGTCGTCTCGTTTAATGTTGCACCTGCCACTTGGTCCTTTGGCCAGACCTACATCGGAGGACAGTTTCGGTATTAATTATATATAATCGGTTTTCGGTTTGGTTTTGTTCGGTTTTGTTATTGTGTTTTTTTTTTTTCGGTTCCAAGTTGGGGACTCTTTTTTGGTAACCAATTGAGATTGGGACTGATAGTGATAAGTAGCGAATATGTGTGGGAACGAGAAAGAGAAAAGTATAATTCTCGTTTTTATAATATAAGAAAATGAAAGTGATGTTATGTATTTGTTTTAATTAATTTGAGTACTATACTTAGTGAAAATTTTCATGTTATGGAAACATGGATTTTGTTTATATGGCAACTAATTCTTCTTCTTATTCAAAAAAGAAAAATACCATTTTTAGCGCGCTCTTCTAGATTTTTATTTTGTGAATCTACTTTTGTAAACATTTTTCTTCCTAGTTGGACAACCAACCAAGAAATTTTTTAATAAATGTGTGGTTGACAAAAAAAAGAAAAAAAGAAGAAGCAAAGTATAAAAATTAAACTAAATCTATTAAACCTCCAATTAAAATATCAAATGATCAGCCAAAAAGTTTGGTTAAAGAGATCATCACCAGTTAGACCTATTATCTCTTAAAAATGTTGTAAAGTGACCTTGAAAATTCGTACTTAATATTCTTAAATGGTACCAACTAGATCTATCTCTTTCAAATCATGGGATGCTAGCATACTAAGCAGTGAGCACGATAACAAAAATATATATATTGTAATAATGGGGTTGTACCAGAGAAAAATTGACCTATTTTCTCGATTAAACCGCTGACTAAAAGAAAAAAAAGATATGTTTGGCAGAGCCAGCTTGGCTCGACCCAAAATCTCTAAATGTTAAATCAAAATAGGTCCATGCATGGTCTTTCTCATTGTGTCATTGCGGTCCAGCGAACCAGTTTACAATAAGCTGCCAACTAAAAAATTTAATTGGTATGTTTTATGGATCCAGCCGGATCCAAATTGGTAGTCTTATATAAGCCATCCTTGACTTAGAGGATTGGACTGGATCAAGTTTGCTCCACAAATCAGCTCCATATTATTAGGGCCTTTAAATTAAAAAAGTTTTAACTTTTCATTTTTTTATAATAATTAAACATAAAACTTCTTTTTCTAGCCTTTAAAAAATTAAATTCAAAGTTTTTGTGTTTGAGAATTCATTTTTTGCCTTTTTTTTTACATTATTAATTTTGGTATTTCATATATAACAATATTTTTAATCGATCTCTTTAATTATTGGACTTTGGATTGGGCTCCAGACCATCGCACTGTCTGCCTCCGCTCTATGCCATCAACCGGCCCTGCCTATCTAAGCCCATTAAGCCGAAAATCCTTGAACAACATTATGCTTCTTCATGTTGAATATGTTGCTTATGCCACTATATGCTTAAAAGTCTTTTAATATTTTGCCTTTTCTTAAATAATGCTTAGAAGTTAGTCTTACATTGGAATATTTATTAATCTTATAAAAGAAATTTCATCCAATAATGGGTATACATAATTTTGTTCTTATATACCTACATTTATACATATACAAGGAAATGGTATATTTTAGAAAGCGTGGGGAGAAGAATATAAAGGTGACAAAATATTCAAACTAAGTTTATAGAAAAAAAATGATGTCAGAGAACTGAAACTGTTTCTTAACAGAGCAACCATGAAAGATGTATGCGTGGGGTTTCTTTCTATTTAGAGTTATACTCTCTCTCCTTAAACCTGTTCTTCTCTTTCCTCAGGTTTCTAGTTTTGGTAATGAAAAAGATTACTTACGATAACATAGCCATCACAGAATCCAAACATCACATGCCTCTCTATATGTCTTGTGTGTATATATGAGACATTGGTTATAGAAGAGACTAACATGGAGATGGATTTTTCATGTTTCCAAGAATACCCTTTTGAGTTCCATTGCAGAGGAACATTTAATGGGTTTGGAGAAAACAATGCAGTGTCTGAAGAGTTCTGTAATAAACGAAGGATGCAGAAGAAGAGTGATGACTTGGAGAAGAAGAAGAAGAAGAAGAAACAGAGTGGTTCTAGGGTTTGTAGTAGAGGACATTGGAGGATTTCTGAAGATTCTCAGCTTATGGAGCTTGTTTCGGTTTACGGTCCTCAAAACTGGAACCACATTGCAGAGAATATGCAAGGAAGAACAGGTAAACACATAAATCTTCACAAAAGTTTGAGTCTTTTCCTCTGCTAATTCTAGAAAATGTGAAACTTACCATGTGTGTTTTGTTTTTTCTTTGTGTTTGTTATAAAGGCAAGAGTTGCAGATTGAGGTGGTTTAACCAGTTAGATCCGAGGATTAACAAGAGAGCTTTCAGTGATGAAGAAGAAGAGAGACTACTTGCAGCTCATAGAGCTTTTGGTAACAAATGGGCTATGATTGCTAAGCTTTTCAATGGAAGAACAGACAATGCTTTAAAGAATCACTGGCATGTCCTCATGGCAAGAAAGATGAGACAGCAATCAACTTCTTACGTCCAAAGATTCAATGGGTCTGCTCATAAACCTAACACAGATCAGAAAATCTTCAATCTTTCTCCTGGTTTGTCTCTTCTTACTCTATCTAGTTCTTCATACATATACATTGAGTTTACTCTGTTATTGGAGTCAAGTCATTATGCTAAATATCGAAAGTATCACTCAGATTGCAAGTTTAAGGAGGTTCTATTGATGTTGGTGAGTCTTTAAGTTTCATGGTTCTGTGTGTTCTTGCAGGTAATGTAGATGATGATGAAGATATGGATCTGAAAAAGTGCAGCTGGAAAATGCTAAAAGAGGGAACTACTAACCTGAAAGCTCAGTATCTCCAAGAAGAATATTGTTCTTCACGCATGCCGATGCAGGGTCCACATCATCCCTACTCAACCTTCCCTGCAGATTCCTTGGCACTGACACTGCATGTCTCCATCCAGGAACCATCATCATCATCATCATCTTCGTCATTATCACTGCCATCATCATCAAGTGCACAACATACAATGGTGACCAGATATTTTGAGACCATTAAACCTCCAACATTTATAGATTTTCTAGGAGTTGGTCACTAAAACTCCAACATGTAGAGTGGGAACTAATCAAGAAATTGATTACTCCTGTCATTATTATCAAAGTCACTGTCTTTTGTTAGCCATTAACATGACAAGCTAAGAAATCAAGTGTCTTCTCTTTTTTCTTTCTTCATGTGCTATTATTAATCGAATGACTGATTCAAAATTTCAAACAGTATTACAAAATCAACACAAATTTATCTTAAGAATTCTGAGTTAGGCCATCAATGGAGGAGACAAAAGTAGTGGCTCTAACCCGAGGCAAAGAATCAAGGACCAAGTAGATTATAGTAGTTTTGAATTCCATATTGAGTAAAACTTAACTAGGCATGAGCAATACTCTCATGCGTTCTGAGTTGTGCCAGCCATTGCTTCTTCGAGTTCTTCCATTGTAAGAAGCCTCGTGGTCTTCAAATATCCTCCTTTTGCATAGGAATCAATATCCTCAAGGTTCACTTGCTTCAATGTGAATTGGTTTCCCACAGCCTTTACTGTCTTCTCAATAAAATCCGATCTTTCAATGTAATCCTTCATTCTACACACGAATTCTGTGTGATCTCTTTCCTGCAATAAACCAGAGAGTTTTGGATCAAGTAATCAATTTCGAGACGAATCAAGTAACCAATTCGAAGACATTTATATCAAGATGAAACAAAGGATCATACCAACCGGTACTGTGGCACTCTCGAAGGCAGTTTAAGGTAAGCCATGTTCCTCACATCGTAGTCCCATAGAAATGATGTATGGTGTATCCATCTACTCTTAATTATCGATTGAGCATTCCCACCAAATTTACGATCACCAAAAACATAATCTGTAAATCAAAATACAAGAAAGAGGAAACATTAAACCCTTTCGTTGAGACTAACTAAGTAGACATCTTAAAGAGTTTTAGTCACACACCGTTCTCACGTAGTTGGAAACCATTAACACCCTTAAACACTTCACCATACAACGAACCGCTCCACGCCATAACAGAACGAGGATAAGGCTGGACATTTGGTACATCATCCTTGTTACAAATCAAACTCACAAACAAAGTACTCTTATCAACAATCACAGTCCCTCCTCCAGTAAATCTTTTAATCACCGGTATTCGATCTTCCATAACAGGTCTAACCTCAATAAGTTGACAAGGCTTCCTGTAAACAACATGCTCAAAGTTAACATTTTTCGCAACGATTTCGAATATAATCGAATAAAGATGGAATTATCATTACCCTGACATTCCCATGACAATGGTAGGAACATTGGTTCCATCATTAACAATGCACCAATTATCAGAAGATGTTCTAAGAAGCCTTTCTTCTAAATGAAGTTGCTCCAGAATCGGTGTTCCTTTAAGTCTAACCAGATTCATCAATGGAAGCCTCAAATCTTTGACTCTACTTAAACTCATCTTTACCTGAGAAGCTTCTACAATACAAGAACCATAAATCAAAACAGAGAATCTTCAAATCTCTTGGCTTAGAGGTCAAACAAAGTCTATCTAACACAGAGTATAGAGAAGTTCTTCCAAAACCCACAAAGACCCATGACACTAAAAACAGACAAATCTCGAAAGTTCTAATCTTTGGTCGGATTTGATTTTAAGGAAGATCAAGAAAGCTGTCTGATTTTGATTGAGGGTTATCAAATCTCGATTCCAATAATAAGAGAAGCTTACCTGAAATCAGATTCCGGTGACGGTACGATCTCCGGGAGAATTCTGTGTACAGCAGCGAAGCCTCTAGCTTGACCAGAAGCTTTATATCGAAAAGCCCTTATGCGCGCAAGGTGTTCGATATAATGCCGCAAAGAGATGTGTTTTATAAAGTTTGATAATTACGAATTAATTACGTTCTGGATTTATGAATAGATCCATACCCAGTTTAGGAATCAAGCAACTATGGCTAGAGAATTAATTATCTGATTAATCTCTACATGTAAAACACTTTGTGCATGGAAAGTGTTCGATTAAATGCCGCAAAGAGATGTGGTTTTCGAACTAACATGTTTAACATATACAATCTCATCACAAGAAGAAGAAGAATAAAGGAATAAATGTCATTAAAAGAATCATGATTCAACAAAAACTATTCTCCATGAATTTCACAAACTCGTTAAAATCGATTTTTCCGTCTTTGTTTACATCGAATGACCTAATCATTACCAAGCAATTGTCTAAGTAAGCTCCTTCTTTAAAACCTAAGATTGTCAAAACTTTTTGTAACTCTATAGCATCAATGAAACCATCTCTGTTTTCATCAAACACATCGAAAGCTTGTTTCACTTCTTCCAAACTCGCTTCTTTCTCTTCGAACAAACTCGAAACTTCTTTCGCAGTGTACCGTTCTTGAAGCTGATCATCGCTTTCTTGGTCGGAAAAAAGTGATAAACTTCTCATAACCATCTCTGCATCTTCCCTAGAAAGATCATCATGTTGTTCTTCTTGTTCTATGTGTTTGATTAAACTCTCTTGTTGATCTTTGTTGTTATTTTTGTCGAAAACACGTTGATGATGTTGAAGAAGAGGGACGAATCTTGATAAAAAGATGCGAGTAGAATAAACCCATCTGCAAAAACTTATGAGGAACAAGTTGAACAGAGTAAACAATGGAAGAGAAGAAGAAGATTTCGACTCCATGGTTATGTTTTGTTATGAATTAAAGAAATCACAAAGAAGTAACTAAAGCTTCTTAGAGGAGATATTAGAGATATAGAATCTGCGTGTGTTTGTTAATATATATACAAGATTTGAGTTTTTCAAGTGTTGGTGCAAGGAAAGTGGTAGGGCAAGTAGAGACAAAAGACAAAGTCCGTGTTTGAAAAGAAATTGGAAATAGGAAGTTTCTTTAGTTTCTTCTTAACATTGTTGGAATTGTTAGAGCAGCATTATCGGTCGTTCCTTAGCATAACTCTTAATAATTTTTTTAAAAAAATAATGAAAAGTAAAGAAAAAGAAGAGAGAGAAGCTGAAATAGTTTATCACAAACTAACAGACACGTGCATCTTTATTAATGGGTTATCTATATTAAAAAGCTAGAATATAATTGTAACATTAAAATATTATTATTTCTTGTGTTTTTAGAAATCTGCTAAGGAATGACCGATAATGCTGATTTTAGGAGTTTTCTGGTCTTATTTGGAGGAAAGTTTGGTCGGGTGGACTTGTTTATTTATATCTTTATTTTTAACGAAGATATTTTTGTATGTTTTCATTGGTTGGGATATATAATTGTGTTAAGTTATCTAGACATTTTGTATATTGAGAATTCAAATATCTTATTTATTAAAGGAAAACTTGAGAGACCATGACTTTGAATGTACTGAAGACTTTTTGACTTTTTGACTTTTTGCTTAATTTTTACATTCATTTCAATCCTATATTGACTGGAAATATGAACGTAGTCAGACGGTAACTAGGTTTACTAGAAATCACGCGTTGCATGCAGGTTAAATGAATATTATATTTATTTATTTATTATTTAAAATTTTAATTTTTTAATTTTATTAGAAGTGTTTTCATTGAAATAAATAAATAGATAAGTCTTTCTCCGTTTCACTTCTCATTTTAAAGTTTTATATTTGTTTTATAAAGAGTGTCATTTTGTGTTTTCAATACAAAATTTTAAATAAAATCTCAGTTTTATCCATGTTTTTTCAACTTATTAATTAGAAAGAAAAACTATTTTAGTGTATTAATAAAAGGTAAAAAAAAATTTAAATGTTTTTCTTAATTTGTGTACAAAATAGTAGAATGACACTCTTTGCGAAACGGATGGAGTATTATTTGTTTTACGCTACTCACCTTTGCCTTCCACCTTGTTTTAAAATACATACAATAAAATATTTTAATATGTGTTTTTATCATTTTTCTAAATTAACAAAATAGTCTAAATTTCAATCCTAAATTCTAAATCGCTAAATCTTAACCCTTAACCTAACTCAAAGTACTAAGCTATATTCCTAAAACTAAATTCATTACTCAAAATGCTATAATTTCTTAATGAAAATATAACACATACACATAGAATGAAAAATTATTGTGTGCTACATAGAGAGTCATTCTCCATCAAAAAATCATTAATCTATTTTTTTCTTGATAGATAAAAGAGTATCGTCTAGCTGAATTTCTGTATATGTTGCTTGACCACAATGGTCGATTATATATACAAAGGTACAGAACTTGCGAATCAAGTTTGAGATCCTAACAAGAAGGAAAGAAGAGATTTATACAGATTACAAAAAATGTAAAGATACGATATGAGTAAATCTTCGAATATGGATAACCTCATTACCCCCCCCCCCCCGTCAAGCTGGATCATGAAGATCCAGAATGCCCAGCTTGTCCCGAAAAGTATCAAACTCATGTCGCCCTAGTGCTTTAGTGAAAATGTCAGCAAGCTGTACCGTTGTAGGGACGTGGGCTGTGGAAATATTACCGGATTTTATTTCATCACGAACAAAGTGATAGTCTTTCTCTATATGTTTCGTTCGTTCGTGGAAGACGGGGTTCGCACTAATGTGTAGAGCCGCTTTGTTGTCACAATAAAGATGCATTGGTTGAGTTAACTTGACTCCTAAATCAAGAAGCAGAGCTTTTAACCACACAAGCTCTTTCGCCGTCCATGACATGGCTCGATATTCAGATTCAGCTGATGAATGACTAACAACATCTTGTTTCTTTGTCTTCCAAGAGATCGGGGACTGTCCGAGTTGTATGAACCAGCCCGTTGTCGACCTTTGTGACAGTGGACAGCCCAAGTAGTCAGCATCACACCATGCATAGATTTGTAGATCACAGTCCGCTCGAAGCAAGATACCTTGTCCTGGACTGCCTTTAAGATAACGATAAACCCGCATACTTCCTTTGACTCAAATATATTCCTTTTGAATTTCGAAAGACCTCTATGCCCAGAAAATATTTCAACACACCCAAGTCCTTCATGTGAAAGCATGCACTGAGATATGTTTTAAAATCTTCAATCGCCTTAATCGTATTTCTCGTAATGACCAAGTCATCTACATAAACTAAAACTCTGATTTCGATGCCATTTTTCTCACAGACAAGCAGAGAATAGTCGGAGTAAGATTGTCGAAATCCATATTTTTCAAGTGAAGTCAAGAGTTTAGCAAACCAACACCTTGGAGCTTGCTTTAACCCATAGAGCGACTTTCGCAGCCTACACACTTTTCCATCATTGCGCGCAGGGAACCCCTGAGGCAATGTCATGTACACTTCTTCTTCCAGATCTCTATGAAGAAACGCATTGTGTACGTCCATTTGATGGACTTCCCAATTTCGAGCTGCAACTATAGAAAGGAATGATCTAACCGTGGTCATTTTTACGACTGGTGCAAATGTTTCGCCGTAGTCAACTCCTTCTATTTGACGATTTCCCAAGACAACCAGTCTTGCTTTATACCTTTCGATTGATCCGTCAGAACGATGCTTGATTTTGAATACCCATTGGCAACCAATTGCCTTTTTTTCTTTTGGCAAATCTTCAAGTGTCCAAGTTTTATTCAACTCTAGAGATCCAATTTCACTGCCTACATCATTCTTCCAACGTTCGTATTTCATAGCTTGTAAAAAAATTTTCGGCTCATGAGCATTTGTGATAGCTGCCAAAAACACTCTGTGTTTTGCTGAGAAACGATCGCATGTCACCACATCTGCAATGGGATACAAGCTGGTCGAATTGGCACAAACGAAACTAGTATCATAATCTTTAAGATACCCAGGTGCCCGTTTCTCTCTTTCTCCGACACGTACTTGTGCCACCACATGTTCTGTTTCTGTATTTCCAGCAGTCTCAACAGTCACATCTTCACTTTCTTCATTATCAAGCAAAATCGGGTCGGGTGTGTGAACAACAGGAGTCACTTCATTTTTTATCAAAACCGGAGCTGAAAGAGAACTTGGTGATGCGTCTTTGTTCTCTTGCACTGTCGACTCTGTCTCAGTAGTGATCACAACATTAGAGATCACTTGTTCTTTTTCCATGATAGGATCTTCATCCAAAGCTGTTTGAGGAGACAGATAGTGAAAAGTATCTTCTCGGAAGATCACGTCTCTTGACACTGTAAACGTTCCTTTTTCAAGATCAAAAACACGCCATCCCTTCTTTCCATAGGGATACCCAACAAAAATGCATTTTCCGCTTCTACTTGCGAATTTATCTCCTTTATGTTCTTGATTGTGAATATAACACACGCAGCCCATAACCCTTAGATGATCATAGGAAGGCTGTTTTCCATACAGCACTTCGTAAGGCGTCTTTCCGTGTAACACCAAAGAGGGTGTTCTGTTTATGAGATACGCAGCCGTCAAAGCACATTCTCCCCAAAACTCAATTGGTAGATGACCTTCAAATCGTACAGCCCGAGCTACATTCAACAAATGACGATGTTTTCTCTCCACTCTACCATTCTGCTGTGGTGTTCCTACACACGACGTCTCGTGATGTATTCCTTATTCCAAGAAAAATTTTGTTAATGACAAAAATTCACTTCCGTTATCGCTTCGTACTATTCGCACTTTCTTCCCAAATTGTCGGCTAACCAAGGCTAAGAAATATTGTAACCTTTTTGGTGTCTCACTTTTCGCATTCATAAGATAAATCCAAGTACCACGAGAGAAGTCGTCAACTATGGTTAGAAAATATCTCGCTCCCGAGAACGATGGAGTTCTATAAGGACCCCATATGTCGCACTGAATCATTTCAAAAATCTCTGTAGTCTTATTAATGCTCAAAGGAAAAGAACAACGAGTTTGCTTTGCGCGGATACAAACTTCACACGCATTATTCGACAAAGAACTACTAGTGCTATTAAAATCAAAACCCGACATCAACTCCACAACTTTCAAAGATGGATGTCCCAAGCGTCTATGCCACAAATCCACGGACTGACTCCTTAGACCCTTAGCCGCTGCAACTATCTCCAAATTCTGAAAGTAAACCAAACCTCTAGCTGGTTTACCCAACCCAATCACCGTCCTCGTAGTGCGGTCCTAAAGAACACAAAACGGAACAGACAATTGCATCACACAATCATTTTCTTCCATTAATTGTGAGACTGAAATCAGATCAAATCCTAGATTTTCTATGTAGAAAACTTCGATCAAACGCAAATGGGAATTCAATATCACAGTTCCGACCATGTTACCCAACACGGTTCGTCCATCAGCTAACATAATCTGTGTTGGCGTTGATGGTCTCAAATTTGTAAGAATCTCTTTCTTACATGTCAAATGGTGAGTAGCTCATGTATCAAGTATCCAAGAAGGAAAGAATGACTTACCAGAGGATTGCTCATCGGCTCCGATAGACGCTGCATTCATTGCACGCTTGACACTCAGCCACTGTTCGTCTGTCAAGTTGCACACAGCTGTTCTATCCACATCTGTGACAGCTACATTGGCTACCGCCGTGTTTGGTTGTCCAACGACTCTTGCTACATTGGCACGAGCTGGCACACCTCTTCCCCAAGAACCTCCAGCCGATGAACCAGTTCCTCTACCACGGCTGATCCGACTTCGTGGTCTGTCTCCCCACCACTCTGGAAAACCCAAAATCTGAAAACACCCATCAGCTTTGTGTCCAGTTCTTCCACAGTTTGAACACACCACACTCATATCTCTTTCTTCTCCTCGCCATTTAGCCCTTTGTGTTAGTGTCACAAAAGCCATGTTCTCAGGTTT